GCTAGAGTCTCATTGCACGCTCTCACAATTGGCACATTTCTTTTCTGACTCTGAGAATCTCACACACACAGACACACAGACGATGACTCGAATTTCAGCTACCGTGATCGTACTTATGGTTGCAGCTCTTAGTGTACTACGTACAGATGCCTCTGCTTTGTGTAAGTACATTTCTTTATTTCTTTCCAAAACTGTTTTGATAATAAAGCTATTTGCACATTCATTGATGAATTTTTAGTTTTCTTTCCATTACTGTAATAAGTGTTTTGTTTCTCAGAGACACTGTTATGTGGAAAATGTTTTTAAAATCTGAGGTTCATAATGTGAAGATATTTTTCTAATGTCTAAATAAAGTTACAAAAAAAACTAAACTTTAATTGTGCTTACAGCATGTTGCAGGAAATATACCAAAGGAATAATATCAATGGCATTTATCAAAGGATATTCCATTCAGACCATGACAAGAAACTGCCACATTGATGCTGTCATGTAAGAATAAGATGCCTTCTACATATATGGTGCATTATGTATTGATTGACTATATGTGTTATGATTGATTCCTGGAGAGAAAAGAAACTAACCAAAACTTACCTTACAGATTCCACACATACAGAGGCAAGAACATTTGCACAGACCCCACCAAAGCCTGGGTGATGGAAAATATCCGTAAGCTGAGGTAAGCTTGCAGATATGTGATTGCTGTGGATAAATAAAAACAAATGAACACAGATGAACTGAACAGCCTTGAAATGAAAGCTAATGACTCTGTTATCTCTTTTCTGTTCTTTAGGGAGAAAGTGCAAGTAATCAGCAGAAAACATTCAAGGGTCTAATTGTACAACTACTGTGCCTAAACAGATGTTACTACAAGAATAATTCTTCATGGAGGAGGATCTATTTCTTTATGAAATTTGCATATTTAATCTGCATATTTGTATATGCATGTTATTTTATATGGTTTGTTTGTTTGCTTTTTTAATTCAATGCATTAAAATAAATTTTCTATGTAAAGAGAAAACTTGCCTTTTGTACTGAAATTATGTTTGTATACCTCAAACTTAATTCAATGAATAAAATTGAATAATAATAACAATAATAGTGTGTACATATACACACACACACACATACATATACACACACACATTGGGAGAACTTGCACAATTGGTGGCTGACTAAATACTTTTTTTCCCCACTGTATATATATATACACACACACACATATATATACACATATACATATATATAAAACAGAAAATTAATGTAATTAAATGTAACAAACTTGCATATAATAATTATTCATATTTCACACACACGCACACACGCACACACACATACATAGCCTATATATCTGAACAATAATACAAATAATTAAAAAAAAGAATCATTATAGAATATATATTTATATACAAATACGATGGGTTTCAAAACAATATCAGTAAAATAACTGCACATTAGAAGATGTAGAGCACAGCTTTAATTTGAGTTAAAGTTGTGCTTAATGATTAACTACTTACCGTGTGATGCACATAAAGTGCATAGACTGAAAGAACAGAGACATTTTCTGTGATAGAATAAAATGAGGTGAGTTGAATACTTTAATGTGATTGGTCAGAGAACGAGCCAGAGTTCATAAGATGCCAGAAAGGCTTTAGGACAGAAATTCCCCATAGGCTACTTGCTTCAGCTCTGGGAAATTACCTTAATGATGTCACCTATGAGAGAGGACTGGAATGCAGAATAACGTCTCTGTGGTTTAAATTAACATACCTTGAAAGACATCTGTCAAATTAATACTCATTGACACATGCATTGTTTTTCTCATGTGTGGCGAGCTTCACCCAATAATTACCATCTGCAGAGCCATCCTGTGTGTCACAGCGGTGTCAGGAGGACAGCAGCATCAGGCCAGCGCTCTCAGGCCGGAGGGTAGGGAAGAATACAGCCTTTTATATATACAGACACTTCATTTCCGGCGATATCGTTGACATAATTGCAAAGATATTATTTAAACTGAGCTGGATGTTGACATCACTGAATTCAATGATGAACTGTCTTTAATTGAAAAATGAGTGTTTACTATTGTCATTTTGCATTATTGACACTATTTTCCTAATTAATGCTGTTCAGTTGCTTTGACACAATCTGTATTGTTAAAAGCGCTATATAAATAATGGTGACTTGACTTGACTTGAACTTTTTAAGAAGAGGTCAAGTGCTGGGTTGGGGTTAGGCATTCATTATGGTGGAGTTTATAGTTGTAGTGAAGTAAAAAAAAAGATAAAATACCCCTAAGATCCACATGGTGTCACCCTAAACCAGCGACTGTAGCCTCATCCTTAGCATATGAGAGATCAATAATAACAACAAATCTATAATAAACACAGTTGTTACTTTAATATACTCTCTCTATAACTGCACAGTTTATTAGGTATTTCTTACTTACTTTCTCAATATGAATGGCTCCTGAGTATACAAATAGATGCAAGGTGCTCAAAATGATAGCCTAAATAAACAGATAAAAGGAAAAGAAGATCTGATTATGAGGGGAAAGTCTAGCAGATTTTGCCTACTGTAAAAAAAAAAGAAAAAAAAGAAAGAACGAGGAAGAAAGACATAATTCCCTGCAAATTGACCGGACCGGAGTAAATCATACTGTTTGTGTTTAGAAACAACAACTGGTGCAGCCAAAATATAAATGTTAGCCTTAAAAGGGATAGTTCACCCACAAATACAAATTTTGTCATCATTTATACTCACCCTCGTGATGATCTAAACCCTTATGCTTGTATTTCTTCTGTGGAACATAAACGAAGAAAACTGGAAGATTACACTGAATGGCTACTGAAGCTTTCAAACTTACAAATGAACACAAAAGTATAATTTTTTAATCCCTTTCAGAAGGAGAACACCCAACACTCATTGAGAAGACAGTTTCATATAGTATTAAAAACATCTTGAAGTTGTATTCTGATGTCTGATGTAGGACTTGCAAACAGCCGAAGCATTTCAATTATTTTAATGGAATAATTTTCCGAATACAGATAGAGAAAAACTACAAAATTCTTTTAATTTCCCACTTTTTCATAAGTATCTCTTTGGCATTTCAGAGCACTGAACACAGTAAAGATGAAGAACACATTATTTACTCTTTTTAGGGACCACTCTCTATTTTACAGCATCCCCCAAATGAATTTTTGGCTGCTTCTAGGGACAATTTTTAAGCCATTTTGTCCCCAAAATTACAACCACACACTTCCTGCAGCTGAGTGGTTTAATTACTAGCCATGCTCTCCAGTCAAGCCATGCCTGGCAATGACACCATTGCCTCGGTCCTCTCTGCACTGCTGCACACACAGAGGACTTCCTGCTGAATAATGGAGAAATACACATTCCTAAACACCCACACACACAAACAGGAACTCGGCAACAAAACAGCTCCACTGCCCAGCTCTAATCTTTCCTTTTATGCAATCACACGCTGAACGGCAAACTTCCCCCGGCACATGAACTCATACACGTATGAATGTCTGATTGCTGTTCATATTAGCCAAAAGTCTTTAGATAATGAGCTAAGATCACAATTTCAGAGTTTCAATGTTGAAATCTTGGGTCACGCACTGTGACTAAAGCATATTGCTTATTTAAAAAAAAAAAAGGGATTGGCCTAAGCAATGCAATGTGTCCTGCTTTCCTGAAATAAATAAATAAAGCTGCCCTTGTCAAGCTATTTAATGGGACCTTTAAAGAATACACTAGCACTGAGAATAACTCAGACAGACAGTGTCGTTCTGCATTATGTTTGATTATTTCATCTACAGCTCCAGGCTAGGAGGTTTGATCCCAGAGCTGTGGATCTGACGACCGTGTTCTCACAGACCTGTGCAAGAAACGGACTATTTTAGGGTTCGAAAAGAACCGTAAAATCCTAATAGCTGAGTTTATTGAGCTGACTCATGACAAGAGTTATTACAGCATAGGTGTCGATACAACTTTATCTTCACAGCATTGTGAATTTCATTGTGCTCTGTTGGTTATAAACTAATAAAATTACAAAACCAAACCGGAGCTATATTTCTCAGGGAATTCCTTGTGTTCACTCAGCTTATTTTAAGAATGGGCCACTTTGCTCTCATAGATGTACACAAAGGGAATATTGCTGCTCATCCTAAAAGGTCAGCCAATCATTGCCCTCAGTTTTTAGGGGTAAGGTTCAGATTGGGGCCTAAAACAAACATTATTTTCAACCAAAACCATAGTACTTACAGTAATGAATAATCATTAAGATCGCATAATGTGGTATATTTGCATGGTACTTAATACATTAACACTTCTATGATGAATGTCTAACAATCAATGAGAGTATCATATCCAAAACATGATAGTACCATATTTTACATTTAATATAAGGGTTTATTTAAGATGATGAATAACAACCATTATATTTTCCTCAATAAGGAAAAAAACTACATCTACAAATAGATTTTTTGCAGAACCATGGGCAATGTCATTTTTTACCGGGAATTCTGCAGTTAAACATGATTATTTTAAGAATAAGTTGAATTAATGTGGGCCGTTGGCTTCAACAAAATCATATATCACCGATTAATAATATCGGTGCTCAAAGTATGTATGTTTTTTGAAAGTTTAAGTTATCATTAAAAATCAATTCCCCTATGGAGAAAATGTATGGGATTTCCACTTCCAGAAACCCCGCCCGTTGCATTCCATTGGACTGACATTGTCACCTGATTAATATTCATGAGTCAAGCTCATAAGGTTTAGAATGCATTAACCTCACCCACTTTTCAGAGTTAGATGTATGCTTGGTTGATATTATGGTTCTTGGTGTTGACAGAAATGTTGTACTTTGACAAAATCATATTTCGCATGCTGCTCCATGCTGTTAGTTGTGTTTAAGCACTGTTTTTAAAAAGAGAATCTTCTCCATAACAAGACGAGACAACAAACACTGAAAATCAGGACAGAGACACAGTGCACCACTGAGATTTTATTATTCAGACATTTTATTCAGCTCATGTTCCACTGAGAACATGGAAGAATGAAAGGTAGTCAAAGAAAGAGACAGAAGGAGGCAGAAAGACAGACGGGATTAGACAATGACTGTGTCGTTGTGTTTCGGTATCTGGAGATTTTAAAACCGAAGCTTCTTTCTTTGATGTCTTCGATGGAGACGCATATATATGCTACGTCTCACGTACATAAACTACAAAGTTGCACAAACACAAACTCACACCACATACACTTGCAAGCGCACACCAAACAGACACACAGCTGACAGAGAGGACAGTATTCAGCAGCAAGTGCCATTTTAGGCTCATTTCAGGCTGCAGTGAACACAGTATGTAATTTGAGAGACAAAACAGCCAAATGAGAAGAACATCTAAATGATTATACATTCATCCTCCATTTCCTTCTGTCCACTCCACACGCACACACACGCACACACACACACAACCACCAATTAGATGCAGGAGGAAGCAGTCAGTGCGGCTGCTTCTATTTGTGTCTTCCTTGAAGAACTCCAGATCCGTGAGGATGAGCGCAGGAGAAGAAAGGAAAAGAAAAGCTGATCTCTGCTGTACTGGCGCAGAGTGTGATGTATGCTGGCATGACAGGCTGGAATCTGGGCCATAGTTACATTCATTGTTCAGAGAGCTGTTACACAATTAACCCACCGACAGCAATGAATGTTGATTATGACCTTTGAAGAAATTAAGTCATCTATAGAGGTGGGCGTGTCTGGGCGGAAGAGGGCGTGGCCTCAGGGCCCACTCAACGGTCGATGGTTTTTCTATGTCAAAAACTCACCGACAGCGTTGAATGTTCAACAAGACCAGCAAGAGGGTGGGAAAGACCAAAATATTTCATTCAAACCATGGGCTTCTGTATCCTCAGAACCTTCAAGAAGAACCTTCACCATGCTGAGCCGAGTGTCTGCTAGAAGATAAAATGAGAATATGAGCAAGGAATTCAAAATAAGAAAAACTAGAATATAATAAAATAAAATGTTCAAAAGTTTGGGAACAGTAACATTTTTTAAAGAAATTGATATTTGTATTTAGCTAAGGATGCAAAAGTTTAAAAGTGACAGTGGCATTTATAATGTAGCAAAAGATTTCTGTTTCAAATAAACGCTGTTCTTTCACACTTATTCATCAAAGAATCCTGGGGGAAAAGTATCACAGTTTCTACAAAAATATTACGCTGTACAACTTGTTAACATTGATAATAAGAATTGTTATTTGAGCCAAATCAGCAAATTAATAATTCTAATAATTATTGATTTCTGAAAGATCATGTGACATTAAAAAAACCGGGAGTAATGGCTTCAAATTCAATTTTGCCATCACAAAAATAAATGACATTTTAAAATGCTGTATATTAAAATATAAAACCGTTACTAAATTGTAATAATATTTCACAGTATTACAGACAATATTACAGACTATTTATTTATCGATCTTGAACAACCATAATTAAAGCCATGGCTAAAAACTGGACAAGATTAAGCTCCTGTCAAAAAATAATAAACAGAATAAAAATGTGCAATCATATTAAAATGGATCTTAAATCCTAATAAAGCTCCAGAAGAACTGTTGTAGAGGACCTTCCTACACAAAACCAAAATCTATTGAGATAATGCTCTGCAAGTCAAATAAAATCTCATCATAAAAGAATAAAAAGTGATGTTCTGGAAAGTATGTCATTGCAGAGGGTATTTTAAAAATAATTTCAGATAATTTTCTTTATTTCAAACAAATATTAAAGTGTACCTCTCTCACACACATTCTTTATTTTCAGACAAAAGGCGGTCATCTGATTTGCACTAAATCCAAACTCTTCAACCAAATTGCTCTACCATTTCAAACACAATGGACAATGAATTCACACACACACACCGCACCACCTCTTCAGACGACCATGGGGGGCGAAAGGGTTTCCTATGGCAACAGCAGTGTGAGGGAGGGATGTGATAATCCAGGGGGATTGTGGGTAAAGTGGATGTAAATAGGGGGGTCCCCTGTGAACCCAGATACATTATCACTAGACAGAACACAGACACATACTTTATACTACCCGAAATGAAAGGGAAGTCTAGTTTTTATTGCATCCCCAAAACGTTGCTCTGGTGGTGTTCTCATGCAAATTTAGGATATTATCAGTTATTTATCAGGATATTTGTATGAATTTCATACATTTGGGTGATCAGTGTGTACCCAGAATTACAGAATATACAGTAGCATGCAAACACATATAATGCAACCCATGCCATTAAAATACTCCATACAACATTTATCGTCTTTCATACACCTGAATAAACCTGGTCAGTATAACAAATTTGCTTACAAGTTATGTTAACCTTACAAGTTATGTTCACACAGGCAGAAAATGTTATTTTTTTAGATCAATTCATTTGAGTGAACCAATTAGCTTATTCTGTTTTAAGAAAAATGATTCACTAGTAATTATGTAGTGCTGGATGTCTGATTGATTTTAGTGAATCGATTAGTGAACCAAAGTTATGTTCCTACAGACAGAAAAATCTAATTTTTTGGCCTATCCAACTCAAAAGTATTTAGTTTTTAACAATTTATGAAAGATATTGTGCTGGGGTAGATCAATTCAGTAAATCAACTGGCTTGTTCTGTTAAAAAAACATTTACTGATTCCTAAATAGTGATAAGTTTGCCTGATTCATTTAAGTGAATGGATTAGCAAAATAGACAGAGATCCTAAATAGATAGCGGGTTTTTTTATTTTTTTTTAAATAAATATTGTGCTCAGCTCATTTTTGTGAATCAATTAGCTTGTGCCGTTTTAATTATTCACTGATTAATATGTAGTGCTGGAACACCTGATTAATTTTAATGAATCGATTAGTGACCCAAGTTCACACAAGCAGAAAAATCCCATCCAATTGAAATCTATTTCGTTTTTAACTATTTTAATAGGAAAAAATACAAGAAATCTAATTTGTACAAGTCTGATCCGAACCACCTTCCAGAGATCTGAAATATGTCAGAATCTTACATTTTATATAATTTTTAATTGTTCAAAATCCCCCCCAAAATTCTGTTACGTCAAGTTTAAAAAAAAAAAGAATTTTGGACCCCACTGTATTTGCACAACACACTATCATTAAAAATACACACTCACTGCAACTCACCCTTAGTCCCATAGCAGTTTGTCCTTTAGTGTGAATCAACACCTTTGCAAAAACACCAGAGCTGTAGTGTAGCTTTCAATTTCTTATTTGTCCTAAGAGTACTTAAGGTGGTCTGAAGTAGTCCAACTTCACAAAGAGAGAGAGAGAAAGAATGTGCCTTCCCATATACGCATGTGTCTGATATATAGTCCATAATGGCTTTCAGACGTGGTAGTCTGATCTTAACGTGGACTGTGGATGTGGCCTTTTTCAGTGCGTCTCCTTGTGGTCTTCCACAAAATTTGGGGTGGGGGGAGTAGGGGGTTGGGAGGGGGCCCCTGTTTTAGCTCTTAAAATACCCTGCATCAAGCCGTGGTCGGGCAGCTTGTCTATCAGCGCTGATTACACATCGCTGCCGCTGCAGACAGGAGGCAATCAGGAACACGTTCACCCCTGATGTGTCTCACAACGCTTCCGTCCTCTACAGCCACCTGTGGTTTCCACCTCTGTGGACGTGTCTTTACTGTGAGAGAGGAAAACTAGATGATGTCCTAGGATTTCCTCTTTTTCATGCCAGAGCTGAGGAGAACTAATCAAACTAATAAAACTGAAATGAAGAGTAATTAAATGGAAATGAATAGAAATAGAAACTAAAGAGAAATGAAGGGAAACTAAATTTTCAGTAGTGGGAGAGGAGTTCAACTGTTTTCAACACAGTGAATCTTTTCACAATAACAAGCTACTTTTTCTAACTCTCTCATATGAATCGGTTCTTTCGGTTAAAACAATGGTTTACTGGGAAGTCTGATTCATTTTAGTGAATGACTTTGTTGTTCTGTTTTAAAACATGATTCACTGATTGATACGTAGCACTGGGAAGTCCAGTTCCTTTTTTAACAAATTGATTTGTTTTTTTGTTACATTCAAACAAATAATTCATTGATAGGTTTTGTGCAAGGCAGATCAATTCATTCTACTGAATCAATTTGTTCTGTTTTAAAAAATGATCCACTGATTGATAAGTAGTTCTGGGATGTCTGATTCATTTTAATGAACTGATTTGTTTGTTCAGTTCAAGAAAATGATTCACTGATAGATGTTGTGATAGAACTTAATTAGTTTGTTCTATTTTTTATAAAAAATTCACTGATTGATAAGTAGTGCTTGGAAGTCTGATACATTTTAACCAAACGATTGGTTGGTTCAGTTGTTCAAACGAGTTATCGTTTGTTCTAATTGGTTTGTTCAAATGAGTCACTGATTTTATTAGCTTTTTGGTGGCATTTAGTGTACATTTACCTTTTCAAGGTTACCCCATCATCAGTCATTATACAAAAATATTTTACTACAGAATGTCGTGACCGACCAATCAGAATCAAGTATTCCATTGTGATGGCGTCTCTCTTGCCTTTGCTGTGCTGTGAAAGATCACTGAAGACAAGGCGCTCTTTTGAAGCTGTGCAGCTGTTTCAGTGAGATGCGCCGCTGGACAGTGACGGCATGCCAGACAGTCTGATGAGATGAAAGTGAAGCTTCCCTGATTCTCCACAGCTATATGTTCTCACAGTGCCGCAGGTGCCATGAGGTTCAACTTGTAAGTTGGAAATGAAGTAGGGGGCTGGAAAACCAGTTAACCCAATCAGCCCTCGCTAGGAAACAATGCAAAGAGAAGCTCAAACGAAGAGAATTAGCTCAATGAATGGCTGTGCTTCTTGGAAACGAAGACTGAAAATAATTCTATATCCTATAAGTAATATGCTGATTTGTCAATCAAGGCACCGAGCAGTCAAATATTTTTGTATAACGACCGCTAGTCTATATATTTCAGTTTAGCAGTCATTATCCCACAATTAATCCTTTCAGCCTAATACAAAAACATTTTGCTTTAGGATCTTGATAGCCATTTTGAGGTGTATTATGAGATTCATTTTCAGTTGAATTTTCACCAGCCATTTCTCCAATCTTCAGGGTCACATGGATCTTCAGAAATCATTCTAATATGCTGATCTGGTGTTTTCAACTGTTGACACTTTTGAATGGTAGTGTAACCGTTTGAGGGGCTTCTAACCACAGTTGTGCCAGCTAAACAGTAAAATGTGTCATATTGTCAAATTCTAGGCATTTAACCTAGAGGAAAACAGTTCAAGTGCTCAGGCTATCTGAGTTCACTGCCTCTGAAACTTGTTTTAGTTTTTAGCTCAAAAAGGTAAACCCCAGATAAACCTTTAGGAATGCAGCCCCGAGTCGCTGGTTGCATAGTTCCAATAACCCCCATAGGAGAGAGTGTGTATGCATGCATTAGTGCAGGGGTTTTCAACCTGTGGGGCGCGCCAGCACCTGTCAAGTGGGGCGCGAGCATCAGTTAATTCAGAGACATTCCCTTGAGGATTTATGAATATGAGTTAGCAAATCTTTAGCCATCCATTAGGGGGCAATCTGACTCCCACTGCTAGTCGACAGTTAGAGCAGAGTTGGCTCAAATGAAATTAGACAAACTTGGGGGAGGGCGCATGTCCTAAAAGGTTGAAAACCCCTGCATTAGTGTGTGTGTCTGTCTACAAGTGGCATTTAGAGTGCTGTCGCGCTTTGAATGAGTTTGGCTCTGCTATCAGCCCGAAGCCTTTCTACGGCTCACCTGCTACAGACCTGAACTCAGAGACCGTCTGAGACTGTGAACCCCAGCCCCATAGCCCGCACACACCCAATTGCTGATTTACACGCACACAGCTGTTTTCTACACTGCAGACAAAAGGATGTTTGTCAGACATGCCTATGCACAATGTTTCCTATTGTAAAAATCAGTGGCTGGACAACCCACAACCCATTCAATCTCTGGCAAATCACCACTCAGACTCTCAGTTTCCTGTTAATCACCACAGAGTTCATTCAAAACCCTCACACAGCAACACAAAGAGACGAGAGAGAAGAGAGAAGCGAGAGGCAGACTACTGACTAGTACATTTCCAAACTACCAACTACACTACAAGGACTAATGTAAAGGCTTCTTTGGAAGTCACTGGATAAAAACATCTGCTCACTTAAAGGTAGGGTAGGCGATTTCGGAAAGGCTAGCAATAGCAAGCTAGTTCTAAAAGCACAAGATCCCACCCTCCCTGCAAATCACTCTCCAAAGCCACACCTCCTCCAAAACACATGAATACGCACAGACAGACCAGAGGCTAACCAGTGACACGATGAGAGATGGCGTTGGTGGAATGCAACTCTGTCAGATTTTCTCATGTCTCATTCACAGGTGAGAAAATACTACAGTAAAAAGCACATATTACAATAATAACGCCGCCCAATCTCACTTGGTCTGCAATAGTGTAATGGAATGCGCTGATGACATATCATGTCTGCGCGAACAGTGTGCACAGAGGTATGCAAATACATTAATTGACAGGCAAGTAGGACAGCCTATCGTAGTCCTCCTCGGGCCAAGGAATAAGATTGGACGAACATTTTATGGTCCTATGCCTTTTCCCAGATGATTAAAATATATATAAATACATTTAGACCACTTAACTTAGTGATTGCTATCGGGATGTGAAGAGACTTTTAACCAGCATAACAAAGAATGTTTTCAAACCAAATCAGCTACCCTGCTTTTAATTAATGTAACTTTGCAAAGAGTTGATTGTGACGAGTGGGGTGGGGCCTCGCTCCGCTCCCACGGCTCTCGGCCCCGCCCCACTCGTCACATTGATCTCCACAATCAATCAAACATCCTCACCTTAAAGCAACTGTATTTAAGGTTTTTATGTTGAAACATCAGTGCTAATGATACACTGACTTCTAATAAGGTTTTTTCTCAAGCTACCCTCATACTTCTGTTTTGGAAGTATAAAATGTTGGTGAGGAGGTATGAAATTCCACGAAAAGAGCAGATTGCTTTACGGCAACGACGAATGCACGAGTACAGCTATCCACTGTAATACTGTATATTTATGACAGTAAAATTGACTCTGTAGGGGGCTCCAAAGTTGCAAAAAAAACAAAAAAAAAACATACATTAGCTTTAAAGTCAGACAGCAATTAAACAGCGCCACTGCTGGTAGCCACCAGAACTACATATTTCTACATGAAAAAATATATATATTTTTTTTTTCTACTTAATGGGTTAATAAAAATCAGTGTAACCGTCTAATAATATTTAAAGAAGCATTCCATATTATAGTACATGTAAGTGATTGGAAAGCTTCAAATAGTGTAATATGGACCTTTTTTCTCTTTCTATGCCCAAAACTGAGAAATGATAGCAGAATTGAATTCACGTACACAACACAACCAAACGTCTGGGCTCAGTAAGATTTTTTTTTTTTGTAAGTTTTTTAAAGACGTCTCACCAAGGATGCATTTGTTTGACCAAAAATACAGTAAAAACAGTAATATTGTGGAATACTATTGCAATTTAAAGCTTTTCAAATTTTTCTATTTGAAAAGTTTTCTATATTAATAAACTCCAGGCTTCACTGTCACGATCCTTCTGAAATCATTCTAATATGCTGATTTTCTGCTCAAGAAACATTTCTTATTATTATGAATGTCAAAAGCAGTCGTTCTGCTTTATAATTTTGTGGCAACCATGATTCATTTTTTTCCAGTATTCTTTGATGAATAGAAAGTTCAAAAGAACAACATTTATTTAAAAGAAAACTTTTTAACATTATAAATGTCTTTCCTGTCACGTATGATCAATTTAATGCATCCTTAAGCCTGTGTTATATTTTTTTGCATGAGCAATCCGGACGCGTACACGGACAGCGCGGACGCGGACGCGGACTACTTGTATTTATACTACTGAAAGCATATGCTGAGGTCCACTCCACGGACGTGTTCCATACATGCTTAGTAGATTGGCTTGAACAGTAAACAAACATGTGTAGAAACAATTGCCCACAGTTATTGCACATCTGGCTGTCTTTATATGGTTTTATCGACAGATTGTACAGGTTCGAGTAGCAACGGGCTTCTTCACACAGCCTGCGCAAGCGCAGTTGGTGCTTTTGTAGCCTACACAAAAAATTGGAGGCACGTGGATGTCCGCGCAGAGCCTCCGCACACACTCTCCGATGACCTCTCCGATTTTTATGTCACGCATACCATAGCGGACCCAAGCGGACTCGCGCACGCGGAAAGTATAACACAGGCTTTACTCAATAAAAGTAGGCTATTAACTTCTTTTACAAAAAATTAAAAAAATTATAGCTCTCCTTGAATAAAACCACCAATGAAAAAAAAAATCATCAACCAATGACAACCCCAAACCAGTTAAGCAACCCCACTATAAAACTAACTACCAATCTGAAAGCACTAATTAAACAGCCCCACATTAAAACATCGATCAATCAAACAGCCCAAACATAAAACCGTTATCCTGAAGATGCATCAAAACACTGCCCCTTCCTTTCATCCTGAACGCCCCATTTTCTAAAGCCTGTAGGAGTGGCGGGATTCCAGAGTACAGTGAGACTGTTTATGCCACGGATCACAGCAGACAGACATAAAGCTTTCACCCTGCCTCCCTCACAGAGCGGCAACTACATTAAAAGGACATAAATCTGTGGGAATGGACATGCAAGAATGTGTATGAGCGTGTTAAAGAAAATAAACCTGATGTCAGTCAGAGAAACCAATGCCCTGCAGGTGTGATGATGTCTCCGTGTGTGTTGAGAGAACAGATTCTACCTTGCTTTTTTGGTCAAGAAAAGGTTTTCATCATTTCCTCTTCTCTCATTTTTGATTCACGGCTTATTAGAGGCTGTTTGACTGACGTAACTTATACATGGAAAGTCATTATATAGTCATTTTTAAATATAGTTATGGTCAGGGTTTGCATGAGGATGTATGGAGCCCTTATATGCAACATAGCTTCATTTTTCTTGGAACACGCAAACTCCAATAAATCCCTTATATGAAGTTGCCTGGAGCCAAAACCCAAACAATCATTTATGTAAAATATATCTACAGCGGGTCAGATTTTGGAAAGCTCATCATTTTACTGTTTTTCTTATTAAACACTGTAGTATCTTATCCTCACAGCTCTTACTTGGAGGTCCAATTAGGACAAGATGTGCGTGTGTTGGAGTTCTTGAAGGCCGACAGTTTATTTCTGTTCCTGCGTCGCGACACGTTTTTGCCAACTCAGTGAAACCCCTGCAGATAGGGAGAGCGCGAACCCACAGTCAAAACTTCAACAGCTTCTACTGTCCTGCACAGCCTCTGAAACACACACACACACACACACACACACACACACACACACACAAATCACACTATTACATGATCATGCTCGAACTTCTTGGCCCCCGAGCAGCTGAAACAGTAAAGGAAAATCACATGGCATCCCCACCAGACAATACGGTCATAAAAGAGATAGTGCACAGCTATGGTTGGCCTAAACAAAAGGACGGGGACAGACTGTCGGGCACCAGAGCAACATCCACAAAAGATGAAGCCCTGGATTACAGAGCACTGCAGAAAACCATATGACTGATACAAGACAGCCTGGCCTGAAAGAACCTCATAAAACATGCACTCATAATTAGGGCTGCGCAATATAAAAAAAATTATATTCAATATATATCTCTGTATAATTATGAATTTGTTGTTTGTGATTTTTTTAATCCTATAAGCCAATAACTTTTAAGCAGAAGAAAACACAGCTGTTAAATAAATGGAAAAAAATATAATATTTTTAATTTCTATCAGTGTTATTAACTATATATTAGTGTAATATTACCTATATAATATAATTTTATTTACTCATATTTTTATATTTTAAGTTTTCTTTTATTTTAAGTATTGTACTTTTATTTTACATTTTAGTAATTTTCTTGTGCCTTTGTCATTTTTTTATTTCAGTTTTAGCTTTAGTATATTAGTATTTAAACATATTTTATTTAAACAAGTTTGTCATCTGATATTTTTATTTTATTGTATTTAAATTATTATTTCAGTAGTTTTAACAATAACAGCATTGAATTATATGCACCAATATAATGTAAATAAGTGAACAGCAATATTTACTTGCATGGATTTTTACAAAAACATTTAAATATATGAAAAACATCTGGTGGGACCATCATGAAAATCTTTGATTCACAGATTCATTGAACTGATTTGCAGAGATGAATCAAACTTTAAACCAGAGAAATTATGTTCAGATGTAGAATTTGATGTAATCAGCAAAAACATTGTGAATATAGCCATAATTATCTTTTCTCTGTAAATACAATGCATATTTTTCTCCTTATGGGACACTTAAAGGAAATTTAAAGGAATATATGCACCATAAGTCTCTCTGTAAAACATGAATATTCAATAAACAACCTCATGCCAGGACATGTCTCACACAGCCTCAGGTGAACTTGCAAAAAGGCAGCAGAAGGTGGAAGCAGGGCTGTCGCAAAATTCACAAAGCCTATGACAAATGGCAACCTCACACACTGGCCAAACAATCACATGTCTTGCTGACAGGAAGTGCAGAACTGCAGGGATGTATGTGGCAACACAAAGAGCTTTCATCTTCCTTACAAAAGAAGGAAACATGGCGTGTGATTTACAAGCCAACACCACTACACGAGGATTCATCAAATCACAGCAGAGACCCTTGAGTGTAACGGGGCCCATTAAGTTTAACACTACAATCTTTATTTCCTCTGCTTCTGTTCTTTTCCCTCTTCACCTATTTTCTCTCCTCTCAACGCCTCTGCAGGAAGTGCACACTGGAGTTTATTTCTGAATAGGACAAAAGGAATGCATGCCATTTCCTGTTCATGCCGTCTCCATATGAACATATGAAGAAATGCACATGTCTAATAGAAGGGTTTTCCATGAGGCTCCCATTACAAGCTCCAAAATTATCTCCTCAGACTTTAAGCATCAAACAATAAGGGCTTCTTTTCTAATCTGGCAAACACTGAGAATCGGATCGGGAATCCAATATAAGAGTCCAAATAAAAATGTATGAATTTTTTGGCCTTTTCAGAGATGGGAAAATGCAGACTATAACAGTATTCATTAACAATAGCACACAAATGAATTGTATTCTTTCAGCAAGCTTTCAAAAACATTTGAGAGCCAAGTACTATAGTTCAAAAGTAAAGCTACCAATATTCTTTGACTACTGTCAATAGTCCTGTCCCAAATGGCACCTGGTCCTTCTCAAAGTCCACACTTTGATGTCGGTTAGTAGTCGACATGGCTACATGGTGGCAAAGGGGGCGCTCATGAGCTCTTCTGAACCATAAAATGACAATCAGGACATGCTACACAACATGTACACTATATAGAACGCAAGTATGCATCAAGTGCACCATTTGGGTTTTCACCAATGAAAACATCAGTATTCTGACTCCCAGAAACACCAGCTGATCAAATTGAACCATTTTGAGAAACATTTTTAAAATGCCGCCAGAAGGGCTATTCAAACCAAGAACGATAACTACATTAGCATCTACACCAACAGACGATAACGTTCTGTTTATTCTAAACACATGCTACAGCTTTGTCATCTGTCACTTTAAATGCTTCGTTTAAACGCTTACATGATTCTGCTTGACTGTAAATGATTATATCGTTCATTATCTGGAAAAAAATCTGAAAGTGATTCCAACAATATAGTTCCTGTCGTTATGTAGTTAGCGTTATAGACATCACTTCAGGTCTGAACGGCCCTTTAGGCTGAAACTAATTTAAAAAAATAATAATTAAATAATTAAAGTCATGTTAAGAAAGTCAAATCATTAAATGTAACCTACCACATTTTTGCATCCTTTCAAAACTACAGAGAAATCGGAGTATGGGCGTGCTCCACTGTAAGAGCCCCAAAATTTGAGTCATTATGTAGTTTTTTGTGCTAAAAGCAGCATCTGCTTTGGCGTCTGCTGAAACAAGACAAATTGGTGGCTTCTACTGAAGACAAATTGAGAAGTCTATAAAAAGAGCATGCTTTAATGAGGAAAAATAAGAAATAAAAAGAAAATTCACTGCCAAAACCTTTGTTTGAATTGAGACTCAGCCCTGGCAGGTTTTATGTGATCATGTGACATCAAGACTTGAGTGCTAACACTCTCTCTCTCTCATATATATATATATACACACAATATACATGATACAATACAAGTGAAATGTTATTCCCATCAAGGGTTTGCATTGAAACAAGCTGGTTCTCTTTATGTGGAAAGATTGTAAGATATGTTTTTCTCTTTACTACATTTGGGGAACATTTTTAAAAGTAAAAAAAAAAGCAAACCACACCACAATCATTAACATAAAAAAAACTAATGTAACTAAATATTCAGTACCGTCATTTCGTCTCCAAGCAGATTAAATGAACAAAACAGCCTCTTTTTCTATTTCCTTGGCATAACTCTCTAACAGTCCTCACTCATTTTTCACACAGAGAGGGGTAACAAGTAAAAAAAAGAGATGGAGAGAAAGAAGAGGAAAACAAAATAAGAGAAATGAACGGCTCATTGCTTGTGCATCCTACAGTAGTAGGGTCCCACACTGCGCCTAGTGGGGTTTACAGCATTATGGGTAATGAGAGGGGGGGAAATGAAATTTTCTAATGGTTTAGACTAGCTGGGTGGTTGTCTTTTGGAAGTGAGAAAAAAAAAGAGGAATCGTCGCTTTCTGTTTATGCCATAGACACTCAGTAGAACACAGTGTTCTTTAACTGCATGCGTATGTGGTTGCTCTTCAAAAGGTTACAACTTATTGAGTCTGCAGTTCACAGATTACAGCCAACAAGGTTTCATGCAAACAGACATAAAAAAAGAAATCTTGCCGTTTCATTTTTAGCCATTTGGATGTCGTTGTTTTTATAATCTATTGCATTTCTTTGCTGACATTTATGTTTTTTCTTAATTGGGAAACTGCTGTGTAAGATGTCTGTGGTTAAATGCTCAGTCATAAACACATGGCACATTCTACAGTCAGCACCTTCAGAAAATGTTCTCAAGACAATGGCTACGTTTACATGCACAATTTTTGGTTCAGTCGGACTGAATTCATTCCAATTGATGAATCTGAATGTAGTGTTTCCATGCACTCTCAATCGTATTAGAAAAGGAATAAACCGCCCCTTCAATCCGATCGAAATTTCATTCCGATCGAGTTCAATCGGATCGATTAAGATGTTTACATGAAGATTTTTCAGTCCGATTGAGCCGTCAATCCAATTACAAATGGATTATTTGGTTGCATGTAAACATAGCCAGTGTTTGCAATGGCCTTTAATCGCTTTACAATGAAAATCGTAGGTTAAAATCAATATCACATGTTTCTTCAATTCAGCTCATAGGAGAAATCTGGGTGTATAAATTCACATTGTATCAAAATTGGTCTCTGATTAAACACATTTTTCCCATGGGTTTTGGGGAAAAGAACTATCAAAGATAAATTATGCATAATTAAGTCTTTAAAAACATGCCTTAAAAATTGCACATTATTTCATCACAATTATGATGTAACTGTCAAAGCTGTTCACCAGTCAAATGAATGTCTTTAAGACTGATTGTGGACGTTTTTGAGACAATTCAAGATCTTTAGAGCTAATTTGTGAATGCACACTTACAATTACGCCTACATTTTCCCAAACTAAAAGACCTTGCGCAGTATATCTCCAGCCACCATGTGCGAAAGCAGAACGTCACTTGTAGAAGTGTCACTGAATTTTCAACACTACACTAGAAAAAACCTGGGAATGGTGAAAAGCTGAAATGATGACGTTAACAACTGACAACTTTTAAACTGCCTAGAATAAAAAAAGCAGTGACTATACACCAAAACTGGAACAGAGTAGATTGGCTTTGATTTGATATTAATTTTCACATTTGGTTTTCTTTCTAAGCATAGTCAAACCAAACCCATCTGTCACAGTCAATCATAGTCTAAGAGACCTGACTTCAGTCATATCTCAACTGACAAAATGTGTTGTTATTTTGCCCTTGTAGGGCATGGAGTGCTTTTCTATACAGTCTAAAAAATAAAGATTCCAAAAGGAGGGTTTTGCTTTGAATGCCATAAAAGAACCATTTTGGTTCCCCAATGAACTTCTCAGTGAACCAAGTGTGAAGAACCTTTTAATCTAAATATTTTTTTTTTTACTATAAAGAACCTTTTATGCAAAAAAGTTCAATGGATGTTAAAGGTTCTTCGTGGAACCATTGTTCCAACAAAGAATCTTTATTTTTAAGAGTGTACTCAGAATACAAACTAAAACTGATATATTTAATTCTGACTCACAGTCTTAAACACACCCCAGTTCAGCTCTTTCTACAAGTCTTTCAAAGGCAGCAAGTTGGTTTAGGATGTGTTCCACTCAAATTCCATAATGGCTACTTTAATTCGAATTAAAATGACTGTATGTAATTTCTACACCACTAGTGACACTAAAAGGAATTGCAACAATGACGGTTTCCATTCATGGAAAGTCTCCTCCCATCTGCCATTGTTAAAAAAAACAGTAGCAGTCCCACCTTAAACTCGTGCCATTGAGTCAATGTTGTTACTCAAAGTCTTTTGAAAGCACACAGAGACACCGGGTATTTACAGTTTTCAAGGAAATCAACCTACAAACAGCTTACTTATAGTTGTCTCTGAACATTAAGCTGGTATAAGAGATGGTATTTTTGATAATTTTTTTTTTAAATACTTAAAGTATACAATCACACACAATGACTGAGCAGTAGGTAGTGGAAATTGTACATAAAATCCCATATTTTAACTGTACATAAATGTGTCACTGCAGCCGAAACCATGCCGTTTTAGTGCGATTTTTACCAAACAACCCCAGTCATGCTCCAGGGAGCCTGAGCTTGTGTTGTAAGTTTTCAGTGAAGAGTAGAAAGATCGTTAGCATAAATAATTTGCTACGTTAAGGGTTGTTGGTGATGTAGATGCAGAAACGCTGGTAACACATTGCCCCACACCACCCAAAAGCTCCAGATGGGGACAAAGTTTATGCAGATTGGCTCATTAACCTCACTGTGCTGATCTCTCCACGGTAATGACACACGCAGCACGCTGGGGCTTCAATAATCCATCTCAACATCCTCTCCACTGAAAAGATTACAGTGTGGATGCCACATCCCCGGCCCTGGAAATAGCGAAGCCTCTAGATGGAGGCTACATATGTGAGCGCACACGCTCAAGTGCACCCAGAAAAAGCGTTAGAGCAAAAAGCAAAAAGGCATCTTAGCAGCTGGTGTCATATTCCCCCTGAGGTGTTCCTGTTCATTTTAGTTCCTCAGACAGAATGGATGAACATCTCTTTGAAGTGCAGCCCATTCTGGAATATTTTTCCCAAAACACCACAACCACACATTGAGGTATGTTATCTGTATGTGTGTGTGTGTGTGTGTGTGTGAGTGTGTGGATGGATTTTGTTGAGACTTGGAATGGGCGTGGCTTCCTTCAAGACACCCCAAGCATTCAGATTTTTCTGTGTGTGTGAAAATATTGTTGAATATTCTTTTCACTGTTCGCGATGAATGCCCACATTTATGCTGCTGAATACCACACATCTCAGAACAAAACTACTTCTTTAATTTTTTATCAATGTGCTTGCCTCCTGCAAGGGGTCTTGGACTTCTGAGAAATTTTAAAAGAGCTGCGCTCAAACTATTTTATAACATTGGTAAAAGTAAAATGTTCACACTCCCAAAAAATTATCCTCTGGACAGTACAAAACTGTCACTCGTTATTGTAGAGTCCTTTGTTGTGTGCTTTTTTGCTCTATGGAGATACTGTTTTGTGAGACATCTAGCACTATACACAAAAATAGGCTCAAACTAGAATACACGTGTACACATGTTCAAACGTTTGGGGTCGGTGAGATTTTTTAAAGTTTCTGAAACACTTAATTCTTGAAAGATGCTGAATAGAAGTATTGATTTCTTTCAAAAAACAAACGTTTTAATGATATTGTATGCATTTGAGATGCACTTTTATCTTGTATGTCTTGTGCAAGACATATTTGCAGCCAATTTATAGAAATGTTAAGACTTGTAGGTCAACACAAAGCAGTATGTAGGAGCCACTAAACATAAAAAACAAAACAAAAATATGCTTCCCTTTTTTTTCACTTGATGTGGAGAGAGCAAAAGGTAATAGCAACAGTGGTGGAGTCTGAGAACGGTATAATGTCAGGAAAACTGAAAGTGTTTAGATCAAACATTGTATTTATGTAAGGTAACTGATGAAATAATGAGAAGACAAGAAATTCAAAGTAGACATCATGGCTGTGCATTACATTAGGGTTTGTTAAAAATGAACACTCACAAATTCTTAAAAAAAAAAAAAAAAAAAAACTAAAATGGTCCCTTATAGTTTCTGAATATTTTTACAGCATTAGACATTGGCATTTGCAACCAAATGAGGTTTCCCTCAGAACTAATTTTCAGAAATATTTTCACAATTGCTTTTAACATCTCACAACCATAAACTCTAATGTCCAAATATTTTTGTCTTAGATTTAAACAGCATTTATTCTTTACCAATCTAAAACTCAAACAACATCTCTTTGTGAAATGTATTGCTTGCATAAGTGTGCTTTATAAGCTGTGTTATTTAAATATATTAATTAAAATAACAGTGCTTGGCATTTTTTATTTATTTATTTTTAATTCAATGACATTCATACAATGTCATAATTAAATGTTCAAATACTTTCTGAGGCCAGTGCATCTTATCCTGGAGATATACCGGACATTAAAAACATCGGATTTGTGTCTCTTATCACACTGTGTGTCCCCTATTCATGAAGGAATAGAAGCCCTTTCTAACTCTGTTTGGGCCTGTTTGTTGTGTGTAAGAGAGAGCGAGAGAGACAGAGACAGAGAGGAGGGGTGTTCAGACGCCCGTTGCTGTTGTTCGTTATGTCTGTGTTCAGGTGTCTCTGAGGGTGGCAGTAGGTGGAGATTAAACTGGGAGACAGACAAAGAAGGTGGAGATTGTGTGTGAGTGTGTGTGTGTGTGTGTGTGTGTGTGTGTGTGTGTGTGTGGAGGGGGGTTCACTTTCCGGTACAGATATAATCACACAGCCTGTAATATATTTAACAGTCGTCTTTCTCGTTCTGTTGCAGCTTTCCGTGACCTTACTTTATCTCTCTGCAGACCGGAACGGCAACAAACAGATTTCATATATTGCAATTAGACACATCTGGATCCTGTCAACAACACCAGATGGATTTGAGGGATCAACTTGATTCAGTTTTTTTCAGCACATCTACTTTTTCTTTACTCGTCTACACAAAACACATCAACTGCTGTAGTTAATAACTAACATTTACTGTAGAGAACAACGAAACTGAAACCCAGATTAAAGGTAATCATGCACATTTAACTTGTCACTAAGCTAAGTTTATCTTCAGCCCACGTACAAGCATCAGTTTACTGATTTAATCTAATGATGCAGCGGTGATGATGAGAGTCTGGGCGCTGAGATGACTCACACCACAGTCTGTGATCAGACCCACAATGGAAAGAAGTCAAACACAAGAAGTGAAATCCAGGTGATCTGGAGCGAGCTTTTCATCTACACATTTAGAAAACTAGAAATTTCATCTCTGAGCAGACGAGAAGGGTTGTAACCCTTTCCCGTTTACATCTATTAGAGCCACAAAGATTGCTCAAAATGGGACAGTGTGTACACCTATATTTGTTTCCCACTGTATTTGCGTTTTTAAATAAAAATGGTTTTAATATGCTGCTTACCACCGTTTAAAATTAAGAAATTTGACTACCACAATAAATGAATGCACATAATTTAAAATGTCTGTGCTTTTAATTGGAGCCCACTCTGAGGACAACTTTAACAGTTGCAATCTTTGTATTTGACATTAAATTACATAGTTAGAGGTAAACTATGTACATTTCTAAACTGATGTTGCAGTTTTGTTAATGTTGCAACTAATTTGTTGCAAACACATTTAGGAATACTATATTAACGTTTGACATACACAGCACAAAAAACATGTTGAAACAAAATGTGTAACAACAATTGCCAGTGTCTCCTTAAAAAAAAATTGGTGTAGAAACAGTTTTCACTCAGACATTGCCAGTAAATTTCACAATAGATAGCAAAGGAATGGCAAGTGACATTGAATTAAACTTGAAATTTTGAAGTAGAAAGACTGAACAATCTAATAATCTTTGTATTATTTCCAATGAAAAATCTTTTTTTTAATAATGTACTTTTTATCATGCACATTTAACCCTTCTATGAATTGCATGAATTATTAAACCACAAAAGAAATAAAAATATCGTAATATTTCTTTTTATTTCAAAACATGAATATATATATATATATATATATATATATATATCCAATTTTATCTTTTTTTAATGACGTAGAGAGATTACATTATTGCAATAAAAGATAAATATTATAATATTATATTATAAAATAAATAGCGGTTTTGGTGTAATAAATAATAATAATAAACATATAAAGAGAACAGGCATTTATAATTAAGGAAGGGTCAAGGATAACCACCCATAGTTGTTTGGATGTTACACCCTGAGAGGCAAAAAGTGCTTTTAAAGATCTTTGTATCTGTATATAATATTTCAACATTACACAAACAGAAGCTTATTGACTATCGGATATATTTAACTTTTACTAGCCTATATATACATTTCTAATACAGTTAAATTTACTCTGACAAATGAATGCAATACATGAAGCATCTAAATACATTGCAATATATTTAATTCTGGCTGAAATTAATCGATCATCCTGCAGAATAAGTTATCGGTGACACAGTTCCTTTTTCATGAGCAGCTGCCACCAGCTTTTGCACTGATTTTATGATCTAAATCTGTAACCTTTGCATTGTGAGAGCAAAGTGAAGGCTTACATACCTTCTTTGAAATCTTAAGAAGAAATAAAGGAAGCCAGTCCACGTAAGGAGCATTCGTATCGCTTCAGATATCTCTCCGGATCCTCCAGCTGCTTGGATCTGCGCCGGTCACCGCTGACTCGCTGTAGTTCCACTCGCGTTCTCAATGATTCCACAAATGGGGCGGAGCTTTGTGTCACATGAAAGTCTGTAGAACATACGATTGGCCACTGAGATTTAGGTTGCCAACTGCTGTTGTTTGTGATTGGTTGAGTGTGAAGCTATTTGACGTTGAGTCCAGCGTGTGTTACAATTTTGTGAAGGGGGGGGGATAGTGTGGGTGGGTGGGGTCCTTTAGGAGAAAAAAAAAGCAAGGCCCATATTTTCTGCGAGTCTGTCAATGTGGAGATTTCCATCTTAAAGATGCTTAAAAACGTATATCAAATATGAAAGTGAAGCTATATATTCAATGATTATTTATTTTTATGAGTGCAAAAGACCAGTAACTAATAATCATTCAGGCGTTTTCAAAGAACAAATAAATGATTTTATAAAAATAAAAAGGATTTTACAATATTTAAATTAAGATCCAAATATATGTTTGTCCAAGAATATTCATATGAAATTTAAAAAAAATATACATTTATTAACATTAGACAGCTAGTGTCTGGATCGACATACTGAATGTAGAGCAAGCACATTTGACATTTAGTTTGATCTCTGACTGCTTTGTTTTTTTGCAGTGTGTTTTTAGTGTGCGTACCATAGGAATGTATTACTCGATTAGCTTTTTTTTTTTAAAGCCTGTACACTTCCTGTTTACCCCACTAGCCACAAATCTGAATGAATTTGCTTGGCTTAGAGGACTAAGAGGAGAAAGAGTATTGCTACTGGGACACTTTTAAATCGAATCATTTGTCTTCCTTCTGGTCAGAACCCCAGAAGGAAGCATTAAAGCATCCTTAAACAGTTTCATTGAGGTACGGTTTTGACCTTCATCTGGAACAGATTACATTTTAATTGACAATTGGTTCCCCAAGATCTATAAAACAACAAAGAGGAATGAAAAACATTAAGAGTGCTTCTTCTCTGCGCTGTTTCTCCCGAACCGCAGAGCTCTGAGACACATTTCGGTGAATTATTCACGAAAGAATACTCAGAATAGGATTCAGTCCTCCTTTTCTGAGCAATGAGAGTCACCATCATGTTGTTTCCAACATGCATGACTTTCTTTCTTCCATGGAAAACACAAGGAGGTAAGAAGTCACGTTGAACATATTTATCAACTGCCTGGAAATGAGTGTTCATTTTTCAAAATGTCTCCTTTTGTGTTCCATAGAAGAAAGTCATGTGTGTGAGTTTACCATATACTTCTTCAAATTAGCTACAGTATTTGATTGTTGATCATGGGTTGTATATTCATTTTGGTATAGAAAAAAAAGACAGATTCATTCTTAAATTATAGATCATCTAACATTCTGTCCCGATAGCCTCATAGAGTTATGCATACTGCACACATTTCTGTCTATGTTGTCTGTTGAAACCACAATTTATAAGGATGTGGTAGACAGTGTGAAAGAAAATTAATCTCTCTCCTCTTCACAAACACACACATTCATGTGCTCAGTAGTTATTTGCAGGGTTGATAAATTCGCTCCTGCTAAAGGATAATCCGTAATGAAAGAGTTGCAGGTTTGTGCAGTAGAGGCTGGTTTCTGTCGTCTCCATGGTGATTTGACATAGACGTTCACATGAGGGTAAAAACATTTCACTGGGATGGTATTCAGCGCTGGAATTTATTGCTAAATTTAGGCAGGACATTTTCACAGTTATCTGCCTGACACCGCAGTCTAGAGACCACATCATGAATTGTGTTTGACAGAGTGTTATGAGAGAAAATCACGCATACCCATGATTACCATCAATTCCAAAAGCCATTTCGAAAATCTGTTCTCATGTCTTATTGATGGTGAATCATTTTTAGTCTTGTTTCACATCATGTAAATGTGCTAAATATATTCTTACCAGCAGATTTGGTAAATTACTATATGATAAATTCTGGTGCTGCTTTGTAAATCAATTTAAATTGGGACGACACGTAATTTTATAACCGTGTTTATGCAAAAACACTGTTTGTGTGTGATCAGAATGATTGTTCCACCTTTTGTCACTGTCATCACGTGTGGAAATCTGATCTGCTACACTTGATTGCCATGGCAACCTACCGAAGCCAGGGATTTAGTAGTAGCCTATCGGTGCCAAACACTAGGAAGAGTGCAGATTTCTATGTGTGCATTAACAAAGACCTATCAGTTAGCTTTAACTATAGTGAATAATACACACAATCAGTAAACATATTTAGAAATGAAAAAATTTAACAGAATGACAACAGACTCTGTATCCACCTTAATTTGCAATCTGAAAGTGAGCTATTTTTATTGATAAAACACTGCTGCTTTAGCCTTTTCTATGTGACTGAGAGGATGGAGCGGCTCCCGTGTCGGATCTTAGAATTGCTGGTTGATTGCTGACATGCCTTGAGTGAGGACAGATGTTTTTTAATCGGAGTGGTTAGGTCTTAATGAGGGGAGAGGTCCTTAACCAGGCACCCACTGTTTTAGCCAGTGACACATTGCTCATGTCAGCTGCTGATAATGAGGGCTACCAAATTCCCTCAGACGATAAACAAAAGAATATCAGAGAATCAGGATTCTGTTTGGAATTCTGTTTGCTCTCAATCTTCATATTTTAAAACGGGAAACATTTGGTTTAGTGTGTGTGAGTGTGTAATTCAAATAAATGCTGTTCTTTTGAACTTGCTGGTCATCAAAGAATCCTGAAATAACGTAGCAGGGTTCCCAGAAAAATTACACAAATGTATTAAACTGTTGATTAACACTGATAATAGTTAGAAATGTTTCTTGGGCAGCAAATAAGCATATTAGATTGATTTGATCACAGGAATAAAGTACATTTTAAAATATGTTTACGCAAAAGTTACTTTAAATTGTAATATTGCACAATATTCCTGTTTTTGCTGTATTTGTGATCAAATAAATGCAACCTTGGTGAGCATAAGAGACTTCTTTCAAAACATTAAAAAGGTTGTTGACCCCATATTATTAAATGATAGTGTGTGAATGTTTAGTTGTGTATATGTTCCTATACAGTGCACGTAAGTGAGGACTCGGGTGTGTGTGTGTGTGTGTGTGTGTGTGTTTTGACATCCTACAGCTCATCCTCAAACCACAGGGTGTGACATGAGTGACAGAATGATGAACCGTGTCTGACACAGTGACACATGTTTGCTTTTCTGTCATTGTGGGGATTTTCCATTGACTTTTATTATTTTATACTAAGCTAATAATTTTTAAAAAATTCTTAATTACAAACACATTTTTGTAATATTTCTATTTTAATTAAATCATTATACTTACCATGTTTATTAGGCTTTTTGGTCCATTTTGGTCCCTACTGTGCATTTGATTATACTATGCTTGTGGGGACATTTTTGTATTGAACAATATTTTTTATCGGTTCTTGTATTCCCTGGGAATTGAATGTCTTTGGCACTGATAGCACCATACTCTACAGAAACACTGTATATGTCTGTCAATAACGTAGCAGGGTTCCCAGAAAAATTACACAAATGTATTAAACTGTTGATTAACACTGATAATAGTTAGAAATGTTTCTTGGGCAGCAAATAAGCATATTAGATTGATTTGATCACAGGAATAAAGTACATTTTAAAATATGTTTACGCAAAAGTTACTTTAAATTGTAATATTGCACAATATTCCTGTTTTTGCTGTATTTGTGATCAAATAAATGCAACCTTGGTGAGCATAAGAGACTTCTTTCAAAACATTAAAAAGGTTGTTGACCCCATATTATTAAATGATAGTGTGTGAATGTTTAGTTGTGTATATGTTCCTATACAGTGCACGTAAGTGAGGACTCGGGTGTGTGTGTGTGTGTGTGTGTGTGTGTTTTGACATCCTACAGCTCATCCTCAAACCACAGGGTGTGACATGAGTGACAGAATGATGAACCGCGTCTGACACAGTGACACATGTTTGCTTTTCTGTCATTGTGGGGATTTTCCATTGACTTATTATTTTATACTAAGCTAATAATTAAAAAAAAATTCTTAATTACAAACACATTTTTTTTAACTATAGTGAATAATACACACAATCAGTAAACATATTTAGAAATGAAAAAATTTAACAGAATGACAACAGACTCTGTATCCACCTTAATTTGCAATCTGAAAGTGAGCTATTTTTATTGATAAAACACTGCTGCTTTAGCCTTTTCTATGTGACTGAGAGGATGGAGCGGCTCCCGTGTCGGATCTTAGAATTGCTGGTTGATTGCTGACATGCCTTGAGTGAGGACAGATGTTTTTTAATCGGAGTGGTTAGGTCTTAATGAGGGGAGAGGTCCTTAACCAGGCACCCACTGTTTTAGCCAGTGACACATTGCTCATGTCAGCTGCTGATAATGAGGGCTACCAAATTCCCTCAGACGATAAACAAAAGAATATCAGAGAATCAGGATTCTGTTTGGAATTCTGTTTGCTCTCAATCTTCATATTTTAAAACGGGAAACATTTGGTTTAGTGTGTGTGAGTGTGTAATTCAAATAAATGCTGTTCTTTTGAACTTGCTGGTCATCAAAGAATCCTGAAATAACGTAGCAGGGTTCCCAGAAAAATTACACAAATGTATTAAACTGTTGATTAACACTGATAATAGTTAGAAATGTTTCTTGGGCAGCAAATAAGCATATTAGATTGATTTGATCACAGGAATAAAGTACATTTTAAAATATGTTTACGCAAAAGTTACTTTAAATTGTAATATTGCACAATATTCCTGTTTTTGCTGTATTTGTGATCAAATAAATGCAACCTTGGTGAGCATAAGAGACTTCTTTCAAAACATTAAAAAGGTTGTTGACCCCATATTATTAAATGATAGTGTGTGAATGTTTAGTTGTGTATATGTTCCTATACAGTGCACGTAAGTGAGGACTCGGGTGTGTGTGTGTGTGTGTGTGTGTGTTTTGACATCCTACAGCTCATCCTCAAACCACAGGGTGTGACATGAGTGACA